CCTTTATTTTAACAGGCAAAACATTAAGAACATTTTCTTATTTACAATGTCGGTCTGAGATATAAAAATAAAACCGGAGATAAAGTTCTCCTTTTTTAATTTAATTGGTGCATTTTAATTGTATTTATTTAGTGGTTCATATAATTCTGCTTTCATTTCTAATTATGTCAGTTTTGGTCCTCCGTACTGCAGAAACCGGATAATCATCTATTCATTCACATCAGGTGTGTTGGAGCAGAGAAACAAGTAAAACATGCAGGGCTGTGGCCCTCCAGGACCAGGATTGCCCATGCCTGAGTTAAGCAAGCAGTACAGATAAAAAGCATGAAGGCTTCTACGTTGCAGCTGAGGCCAGGTAAATGCAGTTTAAGTCACATTACAGACTACAACTGCCCCAGAACAGGTGCAGATACGGATACAGCAAACAATAACTCTTCTTTACTTGATAAATTAAACACATTCTATGTTCATAATTTAATGAAAACCTTAAAAATGTACATGGAATACTTGATCCACCGTTTACAGTGACATCAGCTGACGTTTGCAGAACTCTAGGGAAAAATCAACCCTTGCAAAGCTACAGGCCCAGACAGCATCCCCAAATGAGCATGAGGTATGTGCTGCAGAAGTCACTGATTACCTCATTACTATTTTTAACTTGTCCCTGACACAAGCCACAGTCCCATCCTGCTTTACAACTACCATCATAGCAATCTCTTAGAAAAACCCAATAGCCTGTTTAAATGAATGGACAATTCTGCACTCATCATTTTGAAAAGCTGAGAGGATCGTATTAGGACAAATCAAAGCTACAATTGATTCCCTTTAGTTTGTATATTGGCCTGAAACATCTACAGAGATCGTTATCAGTGCTACCCTACACACTGCCCTCTCATCTGATAAAAAAGGACACCTATATCAAACTGCTTTTCATCAACTTCCAAACAGCATTAACAGTCATATCCACCAATCCACAGAAAAACTACTTAGCCTGGAACTGCCTCCCAAACTCTGCGACTTAATCTCAGACTTCCTCATTTGTAGACCACAGACTATCAAGATTGGGGATTTTTGTTCGTACAAAGGGTTTGTACGAACATGCCACGTCATTTTCAAAAAACTCTTCTATCTTCAGGAAAAGTGTGTAAATGAGCTGCATAAATTCCACCTGTTTGTATCCAGCTGCTCGTGCACGCGAGAGGAGATCAGCATAATTACCACCCCAAAAACACCATATAAGGCTATGTTTCCTGCCTCAGATAC